TCCAGGAGGTGGAGAAGCAGCAATTGACATCAATGTGACGGGATCAGGGATTACAGCACAACAGCACGTAAGCTATCCCTAAGTCGGACTCCAAAAATAAAACCCTGGAAGGAAAACAAGGACTCAGAACCAACCTCTAAAAAAAAGGAATGGTGAGCTCCCTTCCAATATTTTGAGTTCCTCCCTACCGTAATATCTGATCTTGCCATTATAATTAATTAACTACCTCAAATTTTTAAAGATCCAGGGTCGTATTTTCGAAACCATTCGAATGCCGTTCGTATACGAAATAAGGCGAAATTCGCATGAAAATTGAGGTTCCGTATTTTCGAATCACTTTCGAACGGTCCGTACACGATTTGGTTCGTGTACGCTTACTCGAGTGGGTCTCTACCAGTCGAATGTCACATTTCGCATACGATTTTACTTGATTCTGCCAAAGACATTCTGCGCATTGTTTGGAATTTTGAAGGGCTAGATAATTATTTTGTATGTATACGTTATATTTGTTGTTTATATACCTACCTAAATATGTTGTGCAAATTGAAAATTGTGTTCGATGTTCGTTCTCCTTTTGACTTTTCATTCGTTTCCAAATAATTTGCGGATTAAATTATCCTGCTTTATTAAAAGACAGCTTTTTGAATGGCTGGATCGGATTATTTAATTGAAAGAAATGTTATTGATGCCCTCGAAGAATTTTGGTTGATGTGCTTACTTTGAGCCAATGTTTCTTTTTTTAGCTCCTGAAAGCTGAATTTTCCTGATTTTTAGTTCTAGATGCTCCCCCATGAAGCTAATCAAATATTTCTTTTGTTCAGCAGACACAAACCCGCCAAAAACCATGATTGTTATAGTTAACATTATAAAAAACAAGGACGTTCAAGGAAATCCCAACGATTAGGTCCACAAAATTTATTTCAGCAAGATTTATACCAACAGAATAGACTAAATAATACTTGATAAACTCAATAAACAGCCACAAAATACAAAAAAGAATTAGCCTATCCAAAACACGTAACTTTGACAAGCAAAATATGGCCGGCAGGAGGAACACGAACTACTATTCACATACACTATTTAAATACGCTATTTCTAACATTAATACAACAGTTTTAAATATAACAACGTAGATAATTCACAATTAGCAGTATTTAAAACTCATAACACCATTTGATAACACCTAAACAAAGAGTTGTTGTGTGCCTCTTGGCAGACATTTTCATTTAAGTTTGACAGCATCTTGGATAGTCTATAGGTTAACAGCAAAAGTAGGGAGTGTTATGGTATTTTTAAAAAGCCAAATGTCAAAAAATACCTCTCCGTTTTTGTATCGGTCGAAATGGCTATTACCAAATACTCGAATTTGCGACGTTGCCAATGCAAATGATACTCGTATACGATATGATTTTCGAAGGGCCTTCAAAAATACACATTTTAGTTCGTACACGACTTTTTTCATTCGAATTAGATCGCATGCGAAAGAATTCGCATGGTTTCGAAAATACGACCCCTGGATTCAAAGCTATAAAACAAACTACAATAAACCCTATGAATAAATTGAAGATTTGAAGTCGTATACCTAATTAATTTACCCCCGAGTATACCCCAGAACCCCCTTATTAAAATAAACTAGAGAATTACACGTAGCACGAGGCACGTGAACAAGAAAAAAAATTCCCTGATAAATCACTGAATAATCCTACAAAAAATAATAGTTATATTCACCTGAAAAGTAGGGTTTTCTTTCGAGAAAGTTCTCGGGGGCTGTTCTCGTCTCTTCCTCACTACCCCAATGCGGTACCTCAGCTCAATCCGAGTAAAACTCGCCATAGGTGTTTCGCTCACACTATTCAGAAAATGTCAGGATTCCAGAACTTACTGGAATTGTAGCGCCAACACTTTTATTGCCTTTACGAGCACAAAATCCCCTGATATAGGGTACCTAGGGAGAATTACGGAAATTTCAAAAAGGCTCGAAAGAACTTGTCGCGGGAGCACAGTAATACTTTTTTTTAGGATAAAATATGTGAGTGAGGAGTGAAGAATAAAGACCAAAAAGAGGAATTTTCTAGTACTGCAAAACCTTTTATACTACAGCGCAGCAAAACAACAATCCAGGTTCACACCCTGAAACAATCATGGGACTCACCAAATACAAATACCAAATATTACACATTTCCTAGAATGGTGACGACGGGACTTATATTAATCCACCATTCAATGATATTGTCACAACTTCATCCTGTCGTGACGGGGTACATAGCGTAGGGCAAATAGAGACTCGCTTCGTATTTAGTTTAAGGTATATTGTAAAGTAAAGGTTATAATAGAAATTACCAAAGGATGGCCCTATGGTACATAGTACCTCTTCTATAGGGGCACAGGGGGGGCTCCTGAAAAACACAAAGATACGTTAGAAGCGATTTAATTAAGAGGAGGGCCGTCCAGAGGAGCTTTCCCAAAAAAAGGTGATTGCACTGGACGACACGAAGACCGAAGACACCCAGAGGAGCTTTCCCAAAAGAGGCAATTTGCGCTGGGTGGAGACTTGTGGCTAGGGAGCTTTCCCAAAAGAGGTAGTTGCGCTGATTCAAGTCTGCCTATCCGTGTGTTGCCGACCACTATTTATATTCGTTTATCGCTGACTCGCCAACCAATAAGTCGGTCAATCATATATAGTGTCATATTTTCCTACGTAGCTTTGCTTGTTGACATATGTTCCCCCTCTGAAAAGCATTGGACCTCAATGCTATAGAAGAGCCACCATCACAATAAAAAATACTCAAATGTAAAAACATCATATAAAGAGATTTATACAACATATATAAAAATTCGGGGAAGGGAACGGGTGCATTATTATTCAGTCAATAAAACGATGAATTCAAATATGAAAAAATATAAGTTCGTAGCTTCAGCCTTGTGTATCTTTTTTTACCATGTGGGTTGGATTGGGTTCCACTCACCGTTGCATCAATGGCCATTTGGTGCCCAAGTGCCGGCTCCATGTCCTCAAATTCTTTCTCCTGGCGGTTTGGTCAGCTAGGTCGTGGGGTCTACCATCCCAAGGTCTAAGTGTCTGTTACCTCGTTTGGTATGCCCCTTGTTTATTGATACAGACGAGCCCCTACTCAGTTTAGAGCTATCCCAACGTACTGGTTGACCTTTCTGTTCTGGTTGTTGTGTACCCATTGACTTGGTTTGTTCCTGGCTGGTTCTTGCATGTTTGTTTAAATGAAAAATGAAATAGCTAAATTAATTTTTTTCTCCTGTTGACGTTACCGAGTCGTGGCTTGGTGTGGGCATTGTTTTTGGGCGTCGGGTTCGAGACGGAACCTCCACCAAATTTCACAACTGTATCCTGTCGTGATGGGGTACGTAGCGTAGGATCAGGAGGATAGAGACTCCCTTGGTATTTAGTTTAAGGTATATTGTAGAGTAAAGGTTATAATAGTAATTACCAAAGGATGGCCCTATGGTACATAGTGCCTCTTCTATAGGGGCACAGGGGAGCTACCTGAAAAACACAAACGAAAGAGGTAATTGCACTGGAAGACACTAAGACTGAAGACACCCAGAGGAGCTTTCCCAAAAGAGGTAATTGCTCTGGGTGGAGACTTGAGGCCGGAGGAGCTTTCCCAAAAGGGGTAAATGCGCTGGTTCAAGTCTGCCTCTCCGTGTGTTGCCCATCACTATTTATATTCATTTATCGCTAAGTCGGTCAATCATATAGTGTCACGTAATAAGGCCGATAAATAGCGAAATAACGGCCGGGCTGAAGTTTGTGATCAGAGGCGATGGCCAAAGATCATAATCAGCCAAGGCTGTTATTTGCAGTTATCGACCGTGTTTCGTTCTAGATTTTTCGTTACTGCAGAAATTTTTCAATCTGACAAAACAAAAAAAAAAAACACTCTCCCGACCGGCAGCCTGTTATTTATATTTAACCGTCCAGCGGATAAATAACGGCCTGCGGTCGGTAAATACCTTTACCTTTTAATTTTCAATTTCGCTCATGTTATATTAAGATAACAGTAATAGACCAGATTTAGGCGCCCCATTCTCGCATACAAGCGTCGAAGAGGGTTGAAAAGTACATGGATTTTGAGTAGGATGAAGGTATTTTTACAAGTGGCTCCTGGGGATAATATATGGAAAATTCGATTTCACTTATGTTACCCTAAAATGTAATTTTCCATTTGCGACACTCAAACCAATATGTTTTCTTGCTACCGACGTTGTAGATGTTCATCCTTCCGATGGGCTTGTGTGGAAAAATTGCCCAAATTCTCGATTTTTCCTTACAAGATTACGCCCTTATTTCCAAGCTTCAGTCACCTGCAACACCCCATTATTTGTTTTCACGAAGCCATGTTTAATCAATTAATCCTTTGATGAACACGGCTTGCGAGAAAATATGGGCACCAGGACGTCTTCCATTTCTGTTACGGAAAATCGAATTTTCCATACGTTATCCCCAGGAGCCACTCGTAAAAATATCTTCATCCTACTCAAAATCGATGTACTTTTCAACCCTCTTCTAGGCATGTACGCGAAAATGGGGCACCTAAATATGTCACTATCTGGCGGTCTATAACGAAAATATACTTTTGGTAGGTACTATCTATTGATTATCCTTGTTTTAACTCGGTGACACCGAAAAAAAAAGCATACATTGTCATAAAGATTTTTGTCTAGTAAACGAACGACTCTACCAGAACTTTCCTGAGAAGAAAAAATGGGTGATGCCTAGAAAAGCACGAATACATGAATACAAGTAATGCAAATGTTGAAGTTGAAGTAAAATTGGTAAATCTCTGTACTATTTTGATAAATTGTTGAGTACAAAAAATAATATGGTAGCCAAATTCGAAGAACCAGAGGCATAACAAGAAAAAAACAAACGGTTCAAGTCTAGCACAAAAAAATCGTCTATATAAAAAAACAATTTTCTATGATTAATATACAGTATACATATTTTTTATATAGAATATAGCTTTCATACAACTACCGTTCAACTGGTTTTGCCAACTCCAATATTCTTGGTGTCGCCTTATATTTCAATGCATTTCTTGATATCAAAAACGGATCCGCAATAAGTTCTTCTTTCATTTTATCGATTCTTTGTTTCGGTTGAGCCAGCTCTCCCATTCTTGGAGTTGCTTGATATTTTAGAGCACCTCTCTTCACAGCTCCGGGCTCTAAAGGCTCAGGCAAATTCATAAGCCTATCTGGTACCTTAGCCAAGCGGAGAATCGTTTCTGTAGCTTCATAAGTTAAAGCTGCTGGGTTCACATCCAAGCTTTTCGGGGGTTCGATGTTCACTTTTTTAGGGGATGCTAGTTCGTCAAGGTGATTGAAGTTACTGAATATTTTTGATGTTTTTTGAATAGGCTCAGGCTTAAACAATGTCTTGGGTTTTGCTAATTGCATATAAAATTCTTTATTTAAAGATGCCTTTTTATCCTTCTGTTTATCTTGTTTCCGATTGAGCCTTTCCTGTCGATCCCTTATTAGTTTTTTGTAATAATTGTAAATGGAATTCCAAGTTTTGAAAATCGTTTTGTCAAATCTGTGTTTCATTTTTCTATTGATTCCATACAAACGTCTGTTCTCGTATAGCGTCTTTAGTTTTGGTTTGCTCATATGGTCAGCATAGAACTTAATCTCGTCACTTATTTTTAAAGGAGGTTTGGCTTTGAATCTTAGTATCTCAACGGGCTTTGGTGTAAATTTTTTCGAGGCTGGGGGCTTTGGTTTTGATAACTCGTTTATTCTCCAGTTGAACTTGAATTTTTTTTCGAATGCTAGCAGTTTCGGATCGATGGTCGACCCAATGGGCTCCTTGGTGTGCACAAGAGGCAGTACTGAAATATCCATATGGACATTTTCCATTGAGGCCGGTGAACCCTGCATTTTTGGGATTTTATAAACGGTACTTTACTGAGAATTTAGACTCGATGGATTATTGGCCAAAACCTTAAATGACACTTTGTCACACTGAGTTTGACAGGTAAAGATTATTTATTGTTCACGTATGCTTTCTATGTGAAACTCATCTGCGTTAGTCGTTCGTAAAAAATAACAAACCCCCGAGGCAGCTGTTCAAATCAACAAAGAGTTGAAGATGGATGAGCTCGGAATGTATTTAAGTTTTGTAGGAAAAAATTGAGACGAAGAAATGTTACAATCAACACAAAAAAAAATGCTCATAATAATGACGAATTACGGTTATATAAACTGTGTTATATACTGAATTGTATTTTTTCCCGAGATAGATTTAACTTTGACAACTTTGGAACAAAAACAATGCCGCTTATTGGTTTCAAGATGCCATTTGCACGACATACTTGAGCCCTACATACTTCGAAGATAGCAATCCTCATCCTCAGAGGCAAGTTTGCTCACATAATATTACTGTTAGGTACAGGTCGCTAGACTTCGCATTTAGCAGAGGAAAAAAAACTTAAGGATTGAAAATCATTAAGATATAAAAGAAACTTAGGACATTAAGAAAAAATATAAAATCATTCAGATAACCCACCCACGTGGCTTCACGATGAAATAAGATTACAAGCGTTTCGTGACGAAGTTTATTAATATAAAAATTAAAAAATAAAAAAACAGGGTGTTTGGCGGAGGGTTAGCCTATAACGTACTTTTTTGGCAATTGCCTAATTATACTGTGTACGGCTAGTCAGCATCAATTCGGAGGCGATGGGTTTATGGGTTCTCTGTATACATCTTATCTTTAGACGCCACCAAGTTAATCGTGTCTTAACTAGGAAGATTACTTAATGATGTCATAAACAAAACCTGTGCAATTGGAGAGCTTAGCAATAAAACAACTAATTAGGTACAATAATGTATCTGGCTTCCTTTATTAGAAATAATTACAGTACTAAATAGGGATAGCCAGGACGTTATTGAAAAAGTGTATAGATATAGGCTTGTATCCAATTTATGAATATTTGAATTGAAAAAAATGAACGTAAATAATATATATATATAAATATGAATTTTAAATAAACATGACTAAAACTGTTTGGTATTTACACTTGTGAAAGATGAAATACTACAATTTCAGCTATACTCTACCAGCAGGCAAATTTTAACACCAGAAAGGTGAAAGTTGTTTTTGGGCAACCTCAGGGTAAAATTCTAGAATTTTATTTAAGGGGCATGTACTTAACGTAATTCAGTGTCAAGTGATTTATGTAAGCTTTGCCTAAATAGTGAGAAGTGCAACTTATATGTATACAAGTGTTATCTTCAAATGTATGTGAAAACTCAGAAGTGCCTAAAGTGGGGTTATCTGCATGTTAGGTCTCATTGTAGATCCAGATAGAAGCAGTTAGCAGTTCTAAGTTTGTTCCAGACTATGGTATGGTGAGTGAGTCCTATGGAATCAGAGTGTTACCAAAAGGTTGCTGATGAGAAGCTACTAAAGCCCCAACTAAGAGCAATCTAGATCCAGCCTAGGTCCAGTCTAGATACAGCCTAGAACCCTATAACGATGTTCGTATAAAAAACAGATCGAGCCCCAAACATTAGAAATAATCTTACCTCTAACTGAGGGATAGTCTAGGCCAAAAGTGAAGCCTTAAACTTCCAAAATCCGAAATGACCAAGGGACAACTCTAGATAATGATCAACAATAAGTTAGTCTAACTCGAATTTCCCTGGCACGAAATTCTAAAAAGTCTTGCCTAAAAACAATCAGACCAAGACCGACCACACCCCATGAGGTCTCAAAATCAAAAGGTCAGATTCTTCCTCGATTTGGAAAGGGGGCTTCCAACGTCAAACTTCTAATTTTGACATTGATGAAAATTAAAAAAAGGGCGTGTTAGGTTTCATCCCAAAAATACGAACCGAAGAGACGGTTGCACGTAAAAGACTCACCAGATAACCGGTGACTGCTGAAAATTGCCTATAGAACCTATATCAAAAAGGTAGAACAAGTCTGAAAGAAAACGCCTAGGCGGCGACACTGTTCAATGACGGATGCTTGACGGAACTGAAAAATCAAAAAGTAAACAACAACCATCATAACCTCAGATTGGAGGTCGTTAACATAATTAAAGTATTTGGTGGAGAAAGACTTTGTGGTTTTCTTTTGAAATTAAATTTCAACCCCAATTTGAGAGATGGACTACTCCTTCAATTTATATGTACTATCGATAGTATAATGGTTGTGAGAAACACGGTTTGTGTTAGCTAGCACATGCCTCGGCACGTGCGCAAATGAGCTAGACTGTTGACGATGACATCGACATTGATGACGATTCAGATGAACACGACAAATAAATAATATCCGTACATTTAGGCTGCATCACCTTTGTTTAGTTCACTTTTGCCAATTGATAAAACAATCAATAAATATTGAGTTTTCAAATACATTGTATTTCCTTCACCCTAACTCTGTGCCTATTGGTCAGTATCTCTGATCCTTGTGAAAATTTGTTAAAAGTTCTGACTCTGACAGCCAGTTCAATTTTGTTATTTATTGTCATGTGACATAAATCACCCAATCATGTCAAAATTATACTGAAAACAGCCCTAAGGTTGTTTTCAATCTATGACATTGTCTCGGACATTGCTGTCAAAAAAATTTCTATCCGAATAATCCTCGAACATTGATAAATGCTCAATCTATAACAACTTTCTCAAGCTTGTTGCTTATAGAAAACAGACCTCCGCTATCTGTTATAAAATTTTTTCGGACAATTATCAATGTCCTTGGGCTGTTACTACTGAAAACATATCCTTTTTTATCAAGAATTTCATGTAGAATAATTTAATACTCCAATATTTTTTGGCTAAAAGCCGCGGTTTTCGAGTTATTCAGGAGAAACTAAAAAAATACCTTCAGACACCCCCCACCACTTTAGCTCGCCCCCACTCACCAGGACTTTTAGTATGTTATTTAGGACACCTTCACCTACATCTGCGCTAAAATTGGCTTTTACACGATTTTCTTCCTCTATATTTCCTTCTTTGACTGGCCTGAAGATTAGCTGGATTAATTAGTGCGTTTTTGACCAAGATTAAATCACCCAAAGATGATAAAATTTTCTCATAATTGGGTGCTCCTTTTCACAATTTATATATGATTGGATCAACCACAACTGATTAGTTTTCAAGCAGTCAAAACTAATGGATGGATTGATGTTGATAAATTAAAATTGCAAAAAAAAATAGAAATATTGGTTTATGATGCCTTTATATTTTATGGATGAAAAGGCAGATTTAGTGTAAAGGTGTAAATTTCTTTATTAAATATCAACCGAGCGCTTTCGGCCTAGTAAAGGGCCATCATCAGGGTCGGTCCTGAAAACATTTTGTTCCTATATATCTAAATGAATTATTCTAGACTTACTCGTCAGGTTCGCATAGTGGAGACAGAGTTACAGAAAAAAGGCATGTTCTTGGTGTAGAATGCCAAATAAATAAAATAAAAAACACACAAGACAAGTAAAAGGTGACAAACTAACATCCAGGAGCGCTCAACAACAACCAACTCCAAAATACATTTAGGCTTTTTCCAAAAATCTTTCAGTGCTGATTCTTTCGTGGTTTTCTTAATATTTTTTGATTTTCTTTTAATTTAATTTGATGCGCTCGGTTGATATTTGATAAAGAAATTTACACGTTTACACTAAATCTGCCTTTTCTTCAACTTCTCTGGTGTACTTCCAAACCCCCTTCTCGATTTACATTTTATGTTTCTTTTTTTTTTCAAATTGCTAAAATCATTTTTTTTTTTTCAAATTTCCTTTCTTAGGAGACCTTTAATGTTTCTTTAGAAAGTTTTCCATTCAATTTACATTGTATCCATTATTCCTGCATTACAATACATTTTATTTATTTCAATAAAGTCTCTAATTATGAAACTTGCAAATGAAAATGACCCAAACTTTCGTGGTAATATGTATTAAACTTAACGCCCTTGGGGCAACAAAACTCAGAACTCCGCAAAACATTTGGGCACAAATCTAAAATTTCCTGAAATTAATTTTGATTTAATAGAATTACCCACAAATTATTGGCGAATTAACAAATCGAACCAAGTTGCGATTTTGCACAGGGGTCGGCACAGATGGCGTTACATGCGCACGACGTTGTCCTAGCACTCCTGAATCCAGTCGTCCTGCAGGATCGGCCTGGAGAAGGTCCTCGCGCGTCTTCTCAATTGTTTTCCTCAGCCGCCGCGTCTCGTGACCCCTTCTCGGATACGGGATACGCGATATTCGGATCATTTAAACTGTACTGAAAGGGGATGCGTTAAAAAAAAATCTCGAAATTTCAGAGTCGATCGCGTGTGATATTTAGTGCCCAAAGACGTTGTAATGATATCAAAAACTTAAACAAGCGGCTGATATGGCTCAACGTGGTTACTTATGTGTGGTGTATTTGGTCCTTGTATTGGATTATTTTACGTGTGACCCAGTGCTTGAGACCCATAGGACTTCCCTGACCTCTCGCACCGTTAAAACAAAATACGGCGACGTAAGTGGGGTTATAGTAACCCCAGAATCTAAACACTTGGAACCGGTAGAAGTGTTTAGGGGGATTCCCTATGCCAGCCCCCCTTTGGGATCATTAAGGTTTATGCCCCCTGTAACAGGAGCTTTGTGGCAAGGAGTGAAAATTGCAGATAGTTTTAGTCCGGTGTGTCCCCAAAGACTTCCGGATATTTCTAATGAAACCGCTGCCCTTCGAAAAATGCCGAGGGGCAGATTGGAGTATTTGAAAAGATTATTACCTTATCTGCAGAATCAAAGCGAGGATTGTCTTTATTTGAACATCTATGCTCCAGCACAAGGTTAGTCCATTTATTATAATTTAGCTGATTACGACGCTCACTTTTTAACTCTGCGAGTCGGATTGTTTCATATATTGGCATTTGTTTACATATTTCGCCATCATATTTATGTTACCGTAAACTACGTAAAATATAATATACCTGAATAAACCTGTTAATAAAATGTTAAAGATGAACATGAAAAAGTTTTAAAACCCCTTCCCAAACTCAAACGCATTTTGAATATTTAACAAAAATAAAAATGAAACCACTCTATTTTAGCATTACGAATTTAAACGTTTCAAATCCAAAAAAGCCTAAAATGCAATACATTTTTTCAATAATAATTCGAAGGATTTTGATAAATGCAATATGTAAAGGGGGATATTCCACTGTTCCAATTTTGATTTCAATGCAATTAAACATTAAAATAAAAGCATTAGGTTCTTCGGTTTGAAGTTTTAAGAATTTCATCAAGCTTTGATTTGTAGATTTTCAAAATGCACGAAATATTTTTTGAAGAAGCGTTTAGGATGTCTTTTTGAGATGAGGGAAAGTGAAAAATTACTTATCGAAAAATTTGGTGAAAACCATTCAGGTACCTATAGCTGAAAATAATATTTTTAGTAGTAATGAGTTTGACTTTTAAGAAAAACAGAGCACTGAGTATGTGATGTTTAAACTGCTGGGGGAATATGTATTCTCAGCTTAACGGGGGTAGAGTGTCCGCGGCAGTGTTTTGTGACTGTTTCAAGGCTTTCTACTGTGACAGTCAATAAATTTTGCTGCGTAAGCTCTATCAATATGCGTTTAGAGGTGTAGCTAGCTGGTGGTTAAAATCTTATTTAACTGATCGACAACAAAGAGATTCTATTGGATCTAAATCTTCGTTGTATCAGGGTATTGACTAGGGGAGGGCCTCAAGGTTTCATTTTGGGACCTCTTCTATTCCTATTCTTTATTAATGATCTAGCAAGCCCGGAAATTGATGGAAGGTTTACCCTTTTCGCGGACGACGCAACTGTCTTATGAAGTTCTATTTCTGATCACCTCAAGAAGTGTGATGTGACTCCAACTTTTTGGTTCTCTACTTCGACAAAACAAATATTGTTAGCTTCAAATCTGACTTGGAGGACTTGGTTATTCTTATTGACAAGCAGCTACGGTTTCAGTCACACATTGTTAATCTATGAAAAAAAAAATTGCATCAGGGTGCTATGCAGTTAGATTTACCGTCAATGAAATAAGTCCCTCAATCAGACCAACCGTCTATTACGCACTTAGTGAGTTACGTCTTAGATATGGTACCTATATGCTTTTGGGGAATGTTAAACCTACAGAGAGTTTCATCGTGTAAACCTTTATTTTTTAACCAAGGAATCCTGACTGTGCAGTTTATTTATGTTGAAAATCATGTGTATTGTATACAAAAACCGTCAGCTTTCCACCTGGCAGTTCTGTAGTGTGAAGCGCCAGTACCTCAATTTGCCATTGCCCATTCCTACATCGACTTTAAACCAAAAAATCGTTTATATATGAAAGTATAAAATATACAATAACCATTCACCCACTAAATTGAAGATGCTTCCTACAATGAAACAGTTCAAAAGAGCAGTTAGACAGATTTTGATTGGTAAGGCCCTCGTAAGGCCTATTATAGTCTGGAGGAATTTCATAATGATTTCATTAGACATATACAGGGTGTATGAGGTTTGACTACAAAAATTTTAACACGTGAAAATATGGCCTATTTTGAACAAAAAAAGCTTATACAACATTGGGTCCAAACTCAACCATTTTTAAGAAAAAAGTCTTTAAAGTTTTGACATTTTTTGACGACTATTTTGAAGATTAAGAAAAATTTAATCATTATGAAATGTAAAAAATTAATTCAATTATTAAGTAATTATACATTTTTAGTTAACAACAATAACAAAAAATTGGAAAAACAACATAAAAATTTCACTGGTAAATCGGTATCTAAACATCTGGCAACATAGCACAATAAAGAATAGGTGATTGGACGTTGAAACTTGGTTGAACTGAATAAATTGCTTCTTGATTCTTGATTTGTATTGTCTAGTTATAAAACGCGGGTAATTCAAAATCATTCTTTTTTGAAAATAAAATGATCACGACCGTCAAATATGCAGATACTTGTCTAGGCAGAATCGTTGCAAAATGCTAATTTAGCCGCCAGAATCTACAGGGAAACTAAGGAAAGATTTCCCAAAAGAAAAGCACCCACCTGATGAAAGAACATTGTGCCCGTTTAACAAAGATTGCGTGATACCTGAAGTGTGAGTGTGCAAAATCTGCGTGTTGATTTTAGTGTAGAACCTTTCAACAAAAATTAATGTTTTCATAATAAGGATTGGGCAAGTAGCTGAGTAAGTATTACTTGATTTTTCTCTTGAATTTTTAGTACAAAAATGTCATTGAGTGCAATTCACAATTTAATAAAACGGCACATTTTTAATTTTTACTAGAAAAGTGATAAAAATGCAAGTTATTATTTACATTCTTTGAAAGCCAATAACAAACTAAAACGTAAACAGATGGAAATAAATAAACTCTGTGCAAAAAAAAAATCTTTCAAATTTACCAGTTTTATTTACATTTTATATCCTGGCAGAGATAATACCTGTATAATGTTGTAAGGTTAACATTTTTCTAAATTTAAATTCCGCGATAACTCCTAAAAAACTAACAATTGACCCATGGTTAATAAGACAGCTTCAGCTTGAAATGGGCCATATTACCTCTTGTTAAAATATTTGTATTCATACCTATTGTAACATTCTGTGTATTTGGTTTTATCTACAAGCGTTTAGTTATGACGTTTAAACATAACCATTTTTCTAGTATTCGAGCTATGACATGAGACTCATAACACAACTAGTGGTCTTCGAACTTCGTTGACCAGTCAGGAACAACTACTTCGAGAGCAAATACCCCTACCGGCGAAATGAAAATTGTTAGAAAGTTTTTTCAGGTATGACCAACGTGAATTCAGGCACACAACGGTCCCTGTTTGGGAATCGACCCACTGAGCAGTAAACTCAGGCTTCCCGTGCCAATCCTTGACGCGTTTCGTCCTTGTTAGGACTCATCAGAAGGACATAGGCTGAAGCTCCCTGTTCAAGCACAATTGAACTTCGTTGACCAGTCAGAAACAACTACTCCGAGAGCAAATACCCCTACCGGCGTTGAACTACACTGATTGGTCTGAGCTTTCGTTGGCAATGAAAATTGTTAGAAAGTTTTTTCAGGTATGACCAATGTGAATTCAGGGACACAACGCCAACGGTCCCTGTTTGGGAATCGACCCACTGAGCAGTAGACTCAGGCTTCCCGTGCCAATCCTTGATGCGTTTCGTCCTTGTTACGACTCATCAGGACATAGGCTGAAGCTCCCTGTTCAAGCACAATTGAACTTCGTTGACCAGTCAGAAACAACTACTCCGAGAGCAAATACCCCTACCGGCGTTGAACTACACTGATTGGTCTGAGCTTTCGTTGGCAATGAAAATTGTTAGAAAGTTTTTTCAGGTATGACCAACGTGAATTCAGGGACACAACGGTCCCTGTTTGGGAATCGACCCACTGAGCAGTGGACTCAGGCTTCCCGTGCCAATCCTCAATCACAACTAGTGGGTCCTTATTCTCGAAACCGGGGAACAGCGTTCTCATGAGAACGAAGGTTCTTTTTTTCTCAGTGTTATGGAAATATGAATAAGGGCGACAAACACAGAACATTCGTTCTCATGAGAACGCTGCTCCCCTGTTTCGAGAGTAAGGACCGTGGTGTTATGGACTATAGGTTATGAATCTATAACACAACTATTTTTGGTGATTTGACAAATGTCAAAAGTAAACCTATTAAAGTAAAATGAAGGTATAGTGAAATTATTAAAATAATGGTTGCAGGTCATCAATGACGTCGAAATTATTGCCTATTGCAGTTTGCAAGAAATTAAAATTCGTTTTAAACTTAGAACGGATTTTCTTTTTTTTTAACCCTGTAAAGTTAAATAGTGATAGAATGCTGTCGGATCATATAACCGAATCTGCCGATAAAATGGGATTCAGGTTGGCACTCGTGGGTAATATTGCCAATAGTTGCCTTCTGCAAATCTTTGGGTGTTGATTTTAATATTTTGAGGTTCTTTTGTCAGTTTCTAACGAGTCGGGGATTGATAGTTGGGATATAATTTAATTTGCTATAAAATTGTATTAATGGAATTTCGTTTTTTGGTATTATAATTATTCTTATCAATTGATTAATAAAAATGTAACCTGAGAAAATGACAAACTTTATGGTATGCCAAAGTAAAACGAAGTTGATGCGGAAACATTGCGACATGCTAACGTCATAAATTTTGATCCCCCACATACATTGTTTTATTAATTTCCCTATAGGTAACCTACTAAAAAATGAAAATAATTGGAAACACATTTCTATTTTTCGCTTTGTAGATAAAACGTTGTACATGACACGTGGGCTTAATCATGACTACAAAACTCGTGCGATTAGAGTGACTCGGTCTACGACCTCGTCGTTCTTATCTTTCACAATCGTTATTATAATCATGTTCAAACTATTTTGTATTTTGTTCATTTGTTTATATCCTATTAGAACATAGTCATGTATTTGATTCTTTCCAATATTCAGGGAAAACTCCAATTTGAAGGGAAAGGTTGAATATATGAAACAAAGGTCTCGAGAGATTGAAGCAGCATTTTTTTAGAAAAATAGTGGGTACCCCATCAGGTCCAGTCCCCTTGTTGATGTCAAGAGTAGAAAGCTTAGTATATATATCAGATATTGTAATAAGATGGCTAGAGATGTAGACAGTCGAATTAGAAATATCATGCGTAGGGATGTCAAGGTAGTTTTGTGAATAAACCATGGAGAAATAATCTGCGAACATGTTAGCAATGTCCTTCCCAGAGCAACTTGACTTGCCCTCATATTTGAGCTCATTTGGGAACATATTGTTTTTTCGTTTGTTGTTTACAAAAG